GTGTGTGTGTGTGTGTGTGTGTGTGTGTGTGTGTGGTGTGTGTGTGTGTGTGTTGTGTGTGTGTGTGTGTGTGTGTGTGTGTGTGTGTGTGTGTGTGTGTGTGTGTGTGTGTGTGTGTGTGTGTGTGTGTGTGTGTGTGTGTGTGTGTGTGTGTGTGTGTGTGTGTGTGTGTGTGTGTGTGTGTGTGTGTGTGTGTGTGTGTGTGTGTGGTGTGTGTGTGTGTGTGTGTGTGTGTGTGTGTGTGTGTGTGTGTGTGTGTGTGTGTGTGTGTGTGTGTGTGTGTGTGTGTGTGTGTGTGTGTGTGTGTGTGTGTGTGTGTGTGTGTGTGTGTGTGTGTGTTCCCACAGACTGTGTGTGTGTTTTTTTTTGTGTGTGTGTGTGTGTTTTTTCCCCCCCTCCCTCCACCCCCTTGGCGCGCGCCGCCAACCACTGCTGGGCCCTGGCGTCTCAGCCCCACCGGCCCACCCCTCCAGGTGGGGGCACGGCCCGCGAAGCCCGAGGGGGGCAGCACACATGTCCCCACCTGGGGGGAGAGCAAGCCAGCTGGTGGGGGCGAGGCCACGCCAGTGGGGATGGGGATCCTACGATGTGCACGAGCGCTGTTTGGGAGGAGGGCGGAGTGCGGTCAGCGAGGCCTGTCGCTGAACTGATGATGATGATGATGATGATGATGATGATGATGATGATGATGATGATGATGATGACGATGAGGATCAGGATCAGGATCAGGATCAGGATCAGGATCAGGATCAGGATCAGGATCAGGATAAGGATAAGGATAAGGATCAGGGTCGGGATCAGGATCAGGATCAGGATCAGGATCAGGATCCGGATCAGGATCAGGATCCGGATCAGGATCAGAATTTGGATCAGGATCAGGATCATGATCAGGATGAGGATGATGATGATGACGACGATGGCGATGGCGAGTATGATGATGATGATGTTGTTGTTGATGACGATGGTGATGATGGTGGTGGTGGTGATAGTGGTGATGATGATTGTGATGCTGATGGTGATGATGATGATGCTGGTGATGATGATGATGATGATGTTGATGATGATGATCATGTTGATGCTGGTGATGATGATCATGCTGAGGCTGATGCTGATGCTGATGCTGGTGCTGATATGATGCTGTGTCTGATGATCATGATGATGCTTATGATGATGTTGATGCTGATGTTGATGCCGATGTTGATGAGGATGCTAATGAAGATGAAGGCGAAGATGTTGAAGATGAGTATATGATTATGATGCTGATGATGATGATAATCATGATGACGATGATGGTGATGGGGATGATGCTGATGCTGATACTGATGATGATGATGGTGATGATGGTCAGGGTGGTGATGGTGTTGGTGGTGATGATGGTGATGGTGATGGTGATGGTGGTGATGGTGACGGTAATAGTGATGATGATGATGAATGTAGGGGTGATGGTGATGTTGATGATGGTGATGATGATGGCAACCGTGATGACGATGATGATGGCGATGATCATGATGTCGATGATGCTGGTGGTGGTGCTGGAATTGGTGCTGGTGTGGGTGTTGATGGTGATGATGATGATGATGATGATGTTGCTTGTGCTGGTGTTGGTGCTGGTGCTGATGTTGGTGCTGATGAGGATGATGATGCTGCTGCTGATAGTGGTTGTGGCTGTGATGATGGTCATGATGATGATGAGGAGGAGGAGGAGGAGAATGATGATGATGCTGCTGATGATGATGGTGGTGGTGGTGCTATGATGTTGATGATGGTGGTAATGATTACCAGGAGTTGGAGTATGATGGAGATGAAGATGAAGACGAGGAGGAGGCCGAGCAGGCAGAAGTGGAGGTAAAAATAAATCTGGCACTCAATTTCCTCTGGTCTGCAACCGGGATGTGGACGAACAGTGGGGCACGGAGCCATCATTGTCTGGACAGCCTGAACTAATCGATGAACACTGTTCCGCAGGCCTTTACTACGACTACCACTACCAATAGTAGAAAGCGCAGTCATATCCAAACTAGACGTATGCGGGTGCAGGTGTGCACGATGATACCAGCGCAAAAAGTACGATAACTACAACCTCGACCACGACGAGACCCCTCTCCTAATCGTAGTACGACCACAACGACTACCACCATTGACATCCCATTCTCACCCCTTAGCTAGTATCATTACCATTACCAACACTTACTGCTGGTATCGTGTCTACTACCTCTTATCACGGCGAATGTCACGGCTGTTTTTGTTTCTTCTGTAGAGTACGTCCTGGACAAATGTGATGCGTTTTGGTATTGCTCGCCAATCTCCCCATTGGCCACTCTGTTGGCTCAAGTTTTCCGTTGCGCTGGCAGGAGTGCAAACACTCCAGGATCGTTGGGCAGGGTTCTGTGGTGTTGCGCGCTACGATGGCCCAAACCCAGGGTGCCAAGTGGACGGCGGAAGGCAAGTCTCAAGACGACTTCATGCTCAAGGACGAGTGCATCATCATCAATTACATGGATGAGGTCGTAGGCCATGATAACAAGTACAATTGCCATAAATTCCTCCCTGGCCAGCCCAAGGGCATTCTGCACCGTGCCTTCTCGGTCATGCTGTTTGACGCCGACGGCAAGATCTTGCTCCAACAGCGGGCGGCTAGCAAGATCACCTTCCCCAACGTGTGGACGAACACGTGCTGCAGCCACCCTCTGCACGGGATGAGCCCCCCCGAAGTGGACTCACCCGAGGCCGTATCGTCTGGTAACCCAATGGGTGTCAAGCATGCCGCCGTGCGCAAACTTGGGCACGAGTTGGGGATTCCAGCGTCTCAGTTGGAGGCGTCCCGCTTCAAGTTCATTACTAGGGTGCACTATTGGGCTGCAGATATTGACACTCATGGTCCTGACGCCCCTTGGGGCGAGCATGAGATTGATTATCTGCTGCTGTACAAGCTGAAGCCAGGCGAGACGCTGGATATGAAGCCGCACCCCGATGAGGTGTCCGCTGTGAAGTGGCTGGCTCGCGAGGATCCAACAGCCATACCAAAGGGAAGGGCGTTTCGGTCTAGTGATTTTGTGACCCCCGAGCACTCCTGACATTGCTGTAACTTTTCGTGCTCACATCGAGCATTTTCAGAGATCGCACGGCACTCTCACTCTTAATTTAGACGCCCTGCAGAGGAGCTGAAAGAGGCCATGGCAGGCACGGGTTCGCTATCGCAGGAGTTGCGGATTTGGCCTTTCCTTAGTGTCCGTTTGTCGAAATATGTCGAAATCGTTTTGGTTTTTGATCGCACGATCGCCATTCATGCAGTCAGCCTGGCTTGATCGCCTGGATGGTCAAGTTGATCGCCTAACCGATTTACGGACGGTGTGGTCGTCGTCGTGGTAGGATGCGGTATCCAGGTCGGCGATCGGAGGCTCGTGTCGGCGGCGTAGACGGCCACCTGGCAAGGTCGCCTTGGTTCCGCATCATCGCTCAGAATTTGCTCGACCCTTGGTGGGCGGACCTCGACGCGGCGATTGGTACCGACAAGTACGTGGACGTCTCCGCCATCCACCGGTTCGACACCCCGGCCTCGTTCCACGGCGGCGCTGGAGGTGCAGTGTCATGTTTGATTCCCCATGTTGTTCGTACTCTGTTGCTGTGTGTTTCCGTTCGAGGGCTACCTTGAGGGCTCCCATTGTCTGCTTTATGCAAGTTCCTGGGGCCGGTTAGAACTCCGCGAGGGTGCTTCGGCAGGTTGGACGGGTTTGGGGTTATTCTGAACATATTACGTGATAACCCGCTGTACCTTCACAAGATCACCCCTTGGCGCAATCTTCGGTCGTGTTGGTGTTCTTAGAGGCGCTTTCCCGTGGGTCCTGAGTTGGGGCCTGAACGCACTTAGTCGCCTCAGCCCCAATGACACCCAGCTCCCTGCTGCAAACCTCACCCCCGTTCGGTGGCGCGCTTGGGGGAAGTGACAGGGGGCGGGAAAAGGCTTCAAAAGCTTCTCAGACGGCCAGGGGCCATCTGAGCCTTCTGAGAATCCCTTGGGCGCGCCGCTGACTGCAGGATGGTTCTGGCGAGGTCTCGTGGACCAGCTCGGCAGATCCATCTCGGGACGTCCCTGGGATAGCGGCGCTACAATGCCGCTGTTTAGCGTGTCGCGGCTGCAGGGCTGCATGGTTGCGTCGTTGCCCCCTGGGCTGGGGATTTTTCTTGGGGGCCTATTTGGGGTCTCTTGGGGAGCGCTTGAGAGGGCCAGGGCTAGGGGTTAGGGAGCGTGGGGGGGGGGGGGGAGAGAGAAACGGGAGCCAGGGAGAGCTAGAGAGGGCTAGGGAGGGCAAGGGGGCTGGGGACGGCTAGGGACGGCTGGGACCTGCCAGGGCGAGCTAGATCGAGGGAGCGAGCCGGGGAAGGAAGGTGTGGGGGTTGGGCGCCCTGGCCCCGTACCGAGGATGACGGTATCGCCAGCAAGCAAAACTGCATACGCCGAGGGGGAGGAATTCGGGCAGTGCGCGCGACGAGGGGGGCCCGACCCCGCAAGCCTCTTGAACCACGGTGGCAGATAGCGCAACCCATTTGTCAAGCAGTGGCGAAGCGTCCCGGCTCGCTTATAGCCCTGTTCTAAGAACCTTTTGTGATTCCCACGAAATGTCGTGAGAACATGTCTGGCTGGGACTGTCTTGTTTTAACACATCGGGTTTATGGTATAAGAACATTGTTTTGTTATTAGAACATTGGGTTCTAAGAACATGTCGTGGCATGACTATAGGAATCCCGGGACGGTCGGTCCCTGTTCAAAATTGGTAAGTCTCACACACGTTGTACAAGTGATCGTCTTCAGAAATGCAAGTGATAGCGCACAGCGCATGTACATGGCACGAGGATGCACGCCTTGATATGGATCGAGTGTTTAATTTTCTTATCCGTAGACGTAATGATGTGCGCGTGGCCTACCATATCGCACAGTGTGGCACTTCGGAGCGTCATCCGCATCGAAGCCGCCAGAATCGCGCACACGCAAAGTGTGTGCATGTGAACGTGTTCATCACACGTTGCTCGCGTTGGCGTTGCACGTGCGGCCTCCTCGCTAGTACAGCTCAACCGTTGCCCTCTCTGCCGTGCCTTTGAACTCGTGTTGGCCACGACGTGCACTTGTCTAGGCTGGCATTCTGTCTTGCAATACTCCAGAGGCGCAGCGCCCAACCTGGACACCGCAATGGGCTTGGAGCGCGCGGCGTTGAAGCAGGGCGGCGAGGACGCGAGGCGCTTGGTCGCGCTCGCCGCGGAGCGCGAGGACCGCATGGTCGGCCTCGTCGGCCGCGGAAAGAAGATGATCGGCGACAAGGCGGGCGACGTGAAGCAGGGCGCGTACGGCAAGGCCCGGAGTGCGTTCGAAAGTCTGTGCATGGGCAGCCTTGGATTTTTCCCCGTCGGGGGGCTCATCAGCGCACGTGGCGTCCAAGGTGGTTCTCTGAGGTCCTGTGTGTTCTCGTCCGCCTGTTTGCTCGTCAATCCCCTGGGTTCAAGGGGGGGCCTTCGCGAGACTGTATTGTGTATGGGGCGGGTCCAGGGATCAGTTCCGATAAGTTGGAACACTTGGGAAACGCAAGGCTGGGGTATGTGATTGGGCTCGTGCTGCTGATGTGGTCGCCCGTTCTCCTCACAGTTCGGGCGCTCTGGCTGGCCTGAAGTTCGAATTCAAAATCGGTGGGGTGCCACAAAATGTGGCATTCGCTGATCTTCCTGCCCCAATCGCCGAAGCTCGAGCCTTCAGCCTGCCTGAGAGGTCCCGACCCACTCCACGTCCAAGCTCGACCAGCTGATGCGCCCATTCGAGGTAGCTGCTGCACTGCGCTTCAAGTTCGGAGGCCTCCTGGAGAACAACATGAAATCAGCAGCGCAGGAAAATCCTGATGTTGCTTTCTGTGACGACATGCTTACCAAGGTCTCGCGCTCCTTTGCGGCTGTGATCAAGCAACTGCCCGCAGGACTGTGTCTCGATATCTGCGTGTTCTACCTCGTTCTGCGTGCCCTGGACACCGTCGAGGACGACATGGAGGCGTACAAAGGACGTGAGCACGACAAGGAGAGCGAGCTACGAGCATTCGGCGATAAGCGCTTGAGCGATGACAACTGCAGCATTCACGGGGTTGGGGCAGCCGACGAGGCAACGCTCATCCAGAATTTCGGAGCTGTGTCCCGAGTATACAAGTCGCTCCCAGAAGGTTCCCGTGAAGTCATCCGGGACATCACCGACAAGATGGGCGCAGGCATGGCCGAGTACGTGGCCGCGGACCTGGGCCAAGGCACGGTCGACCAGGCCGCCTATGACCGCTACTGCCACATGGTCGCCGGCCTGGTCGGCGAGGGCCTCACGAGGATATTCGTGGCGCGGGGCATGGAGAACGACACGATCATGGCGCAGGGCGAGCGCGTCTGGCCGTTCTGCCCGGACCCCGCCAAGGAGCCCTTGAACATGGGGCTGGCCAACTCCATGGGCCTGTTCCTGCAGAAGACCAACATCATCCGGGACTACCTGGAGGACTTACGTTGCATCTTCGGGGGACCTCGTCTGTCCCCCAAATTGGTGTGTTTTCTGGTGCCCGACGCGGGCTCGGTGCGGGCGCGACGTGAATTTGGCGTGGATTCGACGCGGATTCGACGCGGATTCGACACGGTATCCGACGAGTACGGCATGTATTCGACACGGATTCGACGCGGACGCGACGGGACAGACAAGGTCCCCTGAGGATGCAACATAAGAGGACTACGTGGACGGGCGCGCGTTCTGGCCCCAGAGCGTGTGGAAGAAGCACACCACGACCAACGATCTGGGCGAGTTCGCGCGGCCCACTGCCCACGGCGCCGGCGTCTGGGCCCCCCTCGAGGGCGCCGGCGGCAAGGTCGTCGGGAAGGGCGTGGGCGAGCAGGCGCTCACGTGCCTCAACGAGCTCGTCGCAGATGCGCTGGAGCTGGTGCCCGACTCCCTGGAGCGCAGGGCAGGAGAAGGCACCGCTGCCACTGCTCGCCCTGGAGATCCCTCGTCGCCACGGCCAGGTTCTCCTCGAAGGTCTGGCCAGAGCGAGCCCTTCGGGCCGGGCGAAAGGGGGGGATTGGGAAAGGGGGGGGTACTAAATTTGCTGCATGCAGCTGGTTTCGGCCTCACCGAGGGGCCCATTCCTCGATACATAGCCGCTTCCGGCGCCGGGAGGCGCCGGGAAAATCAGCTACGTGAGCTGATTCTCAAATCCCCCTTTGCTATCCCCCCCTTTCGCCCGTCCCGAGCCCTGGAATCAGGGGCTGCCCAACCGGTCCCTAGCAAGGCATCCCTTTCCGCGACGTCCCCCCAGCCTCACCCCAAGACGTGTTATGGGCCGGAGGGGAGCTCGGAAGTTGAGGATGACGTCACGGAAGGTGTTGGTCACGGTAGGGATCAGTCAGGTTGCGCCCCACAGAAAAGGTCCATGCAATAGCGGCATTTGTAGCTTTTTGATGCCCCAGGAGTATCTCGCACGCCTCCGCGAACCTGCGGTGTACCGCTTCTGCGCCATCCCCCAGATCATGGCCATGGCGACCCTCTCGGAGTGCTTCAACAACCCGAAGCTCTTCACTGGGGTCGTGAAGATCAGGAAGGGCCTCACGGCGCGCCTCATCATCGCCACTGTGGACGGCCCCGGCGCCGTGAACTGGTGGTTCCGACAGATGGCCCGCGAGCTGGCAAAGTCCGTTCGCAACGGCACTTGCGCCGGGGCCGCCGGTCCGATCGGTGCCCGCTTGGCGGCCGCCTGCGCCAGGATCGAGAAGATCACCGCGCAGTCCAGCGCGCCGCCGCGCGGCGGCGCCGCCTTGGCCCTGGGAGCCGCCGCCGCCGTCGCGTTGGGCGCCGCCATCTATGCCGCCTCCGGGCGCGCGTGAGCCGTGGGCTCGGAACAGGAGATCGGGCGTTGCCAGAAGTGGTCCTGGCCCAAGATGCTCCCCAGCCTTTGGTCCATTTGGGGCGCGTCTTTGGCCCCCCCTGGGCCTCGTAAGGGAAAGCTGGGGTTACCTCGGGCCAGGGCCACGCCAGGCAATACCCGAGCGTATGGGGGGGCGCGCCATCAATAGCGCAACGGGCACGCTGCCACTGGCCACCCCTCATCCTTTTTGCAGGTCTCGACCTAAACGGTGGTTTGGTGATTTCGGGGACCGCTTTCGTTTCGAATTCGTTATGCAGCGAAGGCTTGGCGAAGACAAGACGAGGGAAAACGAAAATAACACGAAATCTGAAAACACCGTTTGGATCGAACCCTGCCTCCTCGTCTTCGAGCTGCTCCTCCTCGGATGCACTTGTATTTCTCGATGCACTGGGCGTCCGGCTCCGCGCGGGGGGCTCGATGCAGCTCAGTGGTGCCTCCGGCCCTGAACGAGCGTGGGCGTCGCTCGCGCCTGTGCTAATTCAATCAGGGTGTGCTGCGATGCCGGCATACTCCTGCCCACGAGAGGCGCTGCCCTCCTTTGGCCTTCCCGTCTGGTACCTGCCCCAACTCTCATCCCCATCAGCGCCGTGAAGGAGGAAGAAGGGGATGGGCAGGAGGGACGAGAGTCTCCCCCGTTCTATCCGTAAGGGCTTCGCCCCCTGCCGCCGGCCCCCCCCCCTCTCGGAGAAGGGGGCATGCAAGAGCTATGCTGTGAGGTCTGTGCGCCGTCGTAGAACAGCGTCGGAAGTCCGAACGGGGGCCACTGGAAATATGAGCGCGCCAAAATCCATCAAACGCCTGAGGAAAATCGCAGATGAATTCGGGCGCGCGAAGAGCGCGTAACTTACGAGGGATCGTGGCTTCGGGGACGCAGAGATTGCGAACTTACGAGAGGGTAGTATTACCTATGAGACGCGAACATTGTATCATCTGCGATGAAGTATGGTCTCGGGGGCGCGAACACAGCATCATGTGCAGGGATGTGTGGACTCAGGGACGCGAATACAATGTAATTCGCAAGGGAGTATGGCCTCGGGAGCGCGAATATGACGTAACTTACAGGGTGTTATAGTTTCGGGGGTGCGAATCTCATGAATCTGTATGCGTCCCAGGACCCCCAGAAATTCTGAGAACCCCCTTAGGTGGTGGTAGCCAGGGCCCTTTTCGGCTCCCCCCCCCTCGCGCGGACTTCAACAATTCAGGGTTTCAAGCAGAATGTAGGACTTATAACATGGGAGGCTTGAAAACTGGAAGTGGAGCAGGGAACAGCAAGGCTAATCCGTGGAGCCTTGTAGCCCCACAGGGGGACCAACAGATTTCCTAATTATCCTACCCACCCCTTCTGTCCCTTCTCCTCCCCTCCTCCACAACAATTTAACAGTTTGAATGCTATTGTCCCTCCCCCTGAAGTTGTCCAGAAGATCTCCCGCCCCTTCTGCTTGTTGTGTTAACACAGGGTTTAAAATTGTTTGTTTGTCTTGTGGTGTTTAACCGTCCGAGTGGTCCCGGTGTTTCAAAAATGTGTTCCCGCTGCAGCGCGGGCCTTATTTTCGGATCGGCGTTTTGCCACCCTCGTTCAGAATGGCGCTCTCGCCCCAGCGCGGGCCACTTTTCTGAATCCGAGTCTTGTTTCGTTGTGGTCACCTCCCTCATTTCCCCTCCGCCTTCCCCTGGTCCTCATATCCCTCCCGCCCCTTACACTCCAATGGCTGCTGCTGCTGCTGCTGCTGCTGTTGCTGCTGCTGCTACTCTTCCTTGACAACGTCGCCCGTCGCCCTGGTCTGGGCTCCAGTCCTTGGACCATCACGTCGCAAGCCACGTGAATAAGCAGGTGCGCATACCGAGCAGATTTCTCAAGTCCCTCGTAGGTCTAGGGCCTCATTGTGACAACTATCAGGCTGAATGGAAGCTGTGCCCCAGCTCTCCTTAGCCGAGAATGTCTTATCGCTCTCAGGGGCCGCACTCCCCACCGCCTCCGCGCCCCTCCCCGCCGCCCCCGACACCTCCCCGCTGCCCAGCGACATGCCCGCCGCTTCCGTCGCCCAGGCCCTCCCTGCGCTCTGCGGGGGACGCCAGCGGACCACCTCCGGCCAGGCCCATGCCGGACTGGGGCTCGGTGCGTCCAGGAGGGGCGGCGGCCAGGATCTGAAGTCAGAGCCCCGAATCATCAGGGGTAACTCGGGCCAGGGTTAACTCGGGTTCGTTTTTCGGGAATCCGAACCCGAGTTACCCCGGACCCGAGTCACCCCGGATAACTCGGGCGTCCAGAGCCCCGAATCATCAGGGGTAACTCGGGTCAGGGCTAACTCGGGTTCGTTCTTCGGGGATTCCGAACCCGAGTTACCCCGGACCCGAGTCACCCCGGATCACTCGGGCGTCCCAGAGCCCCGAATCATCAGGGGTGACTCGGGTCAGGGCTAACTCGGGCTGGTTTTGTCGGGATTCCGAACCCGAGTCACCCCGAACCCGAGTTTCTAGGCCTCCCAGATGGGGTCGGAGCAGATGGGGTCGGAGGATCGCGCCGCATCGCCGATGCATCGGCGATGCGTCTCGATGTGGAGCCCGATTTTATCCACGCCGACGTCACCGATGCATCGCCGATGCATCGCCGATGCATCGGCGATACCTCGGCGATGCATTGGCGAAACGGCGCGATCCTTCGACCCCATCTACTCGGGTCAGGGCTAACTCGGGTTGGCCTTGTCGGGATTCCGAACCCGAGTTGCCCCGGACCCGAGCTGCCCCGGATACTTGGCATCGCTCGGACGTGTGCTTTTTTTCCTTCGGCGAGGACCCTCGAGGAGCATCCCTGATCATTTCGCGAAGAAACCACGCACGAGACCTTTTTTTGATTTTTGATTTGCTCGCGGGTGATCGACTGCCGAACACTCCTGCCGGTGGCGCCGAGGCGACGAGCGATGGGCCCGAGGGGGGCCGAAAGAAACGAGGGACGAATACCCAGGACCCAGACAACGCCGAGCGAGGGCCACGACCGAAGAAAACAGGGGCACGAAAAATCGAGGACCCGAGTAAGTCAACGCGATGCTGGAAAGGCCTGGGGGAGTTAAATTCAAACTCCTGTGCAGAGGGCTTCAGCAAAAGCACAGAAAAGGGACGCCCGAGCGATGGCCAGGACAACTCGGGCGCCCAGTGAAGCGGACGGGCTTGGTGCGGCTTCGGGCTGCGCGCGGACACGGGCCCCCCAGGCAGGCCCGGGGCGGGCCTCCGCGGGCCCGGCGGACACAAGGATTCGTCGACCCCCAGGGGAGAAAAAATCGTAAGCATGGGAAGTCCGGGGGGGGGGGGGGAAGACGAAAGCCCAGAAGATACGGGAAAGTATGGGGAATCTCGGGATTTGTATATATATATATATATATATATATATATATATATATATATAATATATATAGATATATATCTGTGTGTGTATGTCCGGGGCTCCTTCAACCCTGGCGCCGCCTTCGGCGGGGCCCCCGGGGCGCTCCGCGCCCGAACCTTAACTTATGGGGACCAGCGCGGGCCACCTGGGGGGCCGCCCGTGCGCAGCCCGATGCCTTTGGTCCACGCCTGCTTCCGGTCCTGGGCCTGGGATTTAAGTCGGGCATTCCCCCTCCCCCCTCCTCCCTCCTCCCTCTTCCCTTTCAAAATTATCACGGCAAAGCAACCGAACAGCGATGTGTAAAAAGCATAGCTGGAAGCATTGCCTATGGTATTCATGTAGGAGTGTTGGTGTATATTTTTTGTTCTGTATCATAATCCAAAATGTACATGTATCATATCCACTAACTTAAAGCGGGAGCGTTACGTTAGGAGGAGGGATCAAGGAGAGGAGGCCGGCGAGGGGGGGGCTGTGCCCATCCGAGGGAACGGGGCAGCCCCCCCCGCCCAAAAATATGCTTGGGCCCCCCAAGGCCCGCCCCCGCTCCACGAATCCCATTGGGGGGTCGAGATCCCCGCTCTGCAGTGGGAATCGCGGAACGGGGCGCCCCCCCAGGTGCCTCTTATCTTCGCGCTGGCGCCGGCAATGTGCACCTGAGGTAGCGTGGGTTGAAATGAGAGAGGGATCAGGAAGGATGTGGAGGGGCGTTCCGCTCAAAAGCGTCCTCACAATCGGGCAAAACCGCAACCCCTCCCCGGGGGCACCGCGCGGCTGGACCAGGCACATGCGGCGCCCTATGTCGGCGCGCACATATGAGAGGCCCATGTTTGTGTGTCTGTTGGAGAATCCTGAAACGCGCACCGCCCTGCTGCGAGCAGGCAGTGGAAGGAGCGAGGAGGGGGTATCAACCTTGACCGCCCGCCCCCGTCCCCTTCCCGTGACCGCACTCCGCGGCCGGGCGCAGGCGCGGCCGGCCGGGGCAAGCAGCCGGCCGGGGCAGCCGGCTGGCCTCCCCTCCTCCTCCTCCTCCTCCTCCTCCTCCTCCTCCTCCTCCTCCTCCTCCTCCTCCCTGCTCGTCCTCGTCCTCCTCGTCTTGCTCGCCCTCCTCCTCCTCCTCGTGCAGCCGGCCGGGGCAGGCAGCCGGGGCAGCCGGCCGCCTTCTCTTCCTCGTGCTCGTCCTCCTCCTCCTCCTCCTCCTGCTCGTCCTCCTTCTCCGGCTCCTCCTCTTCGTCCTCCTCCTCCTCCTCCTCGTCCTCTTGCTGGTCCTTGTCCTCCTCGTCCTGCTGCACGAAGTGGCTTACAGTTGGCCCCGGGCATTCAAAATGTAACCCGGGAGTGGCGTTCTGGGAAGTCGAAGAGCACGAAGTGGCGTACAGGTGGCTTCGGGCATTCAGAATGTGGCCCGGGAATGGAGTTCTGGGAAGTCGAAGAGCACGAAGTGGCCTACAGTTGGCTCCGGGCATTCAGAATGTGGCCCAGGAGTGGAGTTCTGGGAAGGCTAAGAGCACGAAGTGGCCTACAGTTGGCTCCGGGCATTCAGAATGTGGCCCGGGAATGGAGTTCGGGGAGGTCGAAGAGCACGAAGTGGCCTACAGTTGGTTCCGGGCATTCAAAATGTGGCCCAGGAATGGAGTTCTGGGAGGTCGAAGAGCACGAATTGGCTTACAGGTTGCTCCGGGCATTCAAAATGTGGCCCGGGAATGGAGTTCTGGGAAGTCGAAGAGCACGAAGTGGCCTACAGTTGGTTCTGGGCATTCAGAATGTGGCCCGGGAATGGAGTTCGGGAAGGTCGAAGAGCACGAAGTGTGTGTTACCGTTTGCGAAAAATGAATGTGGACCCAGCTCCCCGGATGCCGCCCGGACCCCCTTGTGGAGTCATCTGCTGTTCTCTTTTGACCCCACTAGAAACCTATCAGTTTTCGTTGTTAGGTAAATAGAAATAGCCTGGGGACGGATTGTTGTTAAAACTGTGTCTGAACATTTTCTTTGCACTTTTCGGCTATTTTTCATTTGTCATCCACAATCCCCCTGCAAGGGGCCAGGCCCGACCTGAGCCTGGGGCCGGCGTGTAGGCCATGATTTCTAAGACCAATTATGACCCCCCCTTCCCCCCCTCTGGATCCCGGCTGCCATTAAATCGCCGCCACATAACTATGTGTTGAATAGCCCCCCCTTCCAAAATGCTCCACGGGGGCCGAGCGATGCGATTTGATAAATGCACACATGCAGGTCTGTGTACATACATGCGTATACAAGCGCATACACGCGCATGCAGTGGCATATGCGCATAAACTGAATGCGTACAGATGTGCAGACTGTTTCGGTCCACGGGTAGGTAGTTTGCGTATGATTGGGGCACTACGTACATACGCGCGCGACTGCGCGCGCGTGCGCGCGGTGGCGTCCAGCTCTCGCGCGCGATGTGAGGCTGAATGGCCTTTTGTTGGCTCCCAGAAGCCTCAAATTTACAATGGGTTTTCCCCCGGCACAGGGCACAGCAGGCGTGGCACTTTCTCGACACCATAGGGGGTGCGCAGGGGGTGGTCCCCGAGCGCGGCGTCTATGCGGGCCATGGCGCACGGCATAGCAGGCGTGGCGATTTCTCGACACCAACACGGGGTGCGCAGGGGGTGGTCCCAGAGCGCGGCGTCTATGCGGGCCATGGCGCAGGGCATAGCAGGCGTGGCACTTTCTCGACACCAACAGGGTGTGCGCAGGGGGTGGTCCCCGAGCGCGGCGTCTATGCGGGCCATGGCGCAGGGAATAGCAGGCGTGGCATTTTCTCAACGCCAATAGGGGTTGCGCAGGGGGTGTCCCCGGGCGCGGCGTCCATGCGGGTCATGGCGCAGGGCAAAGCAAGTGTGGCTGTTTCCCGACACCATAGGGGGTGCGCAGGGGGTAGTCCCTGAGCGTGGCGTCTATGCAAACCATGGCGCAGGGCATGCCCGGCGTGACACTCCCTCCACAGCAGGACTGTAAACATTCTGGCCCGAGTTGAACGCACAACACGCTTTGGCTTCCGCGACGCGCCGCCGGGGTCTCTGCGCTGGTGCGGCGTAGATCCCCTTTCAACGAGATGCGGTCTCCCCCCTTTGCCTTGCCCCCCTGGCATGACTCTCCTCTCCCCCATGCCTCCTTCCCTCCTCCTGTGCTCCTCCCTCCTCTGCCCCCTCATTTCCTCCTCCTTCCTAGTATCCCTCCTTCTCCCTCCTTCTCCATCCTCGACCTCCCCCGGCGGCCGCTTTCCTTCGCCCATCCGTACACCTCCGCAGGCTTTGTGCAACGCAGCGGCGTGCCCACAAAAGGCGACTGGCTCCTCGAGAGCAGAATCCCCTCTCCTTCCGTCCGTCCTTCCCAGTCCTCTCCGCCCTGTTCATTTCGCCCTCGTTCCTCCTCCCTTCCCTTGTTTCTGTCGCCCCCATCCCCCTTCCCACCCTCCCATTCCGCCCCTCCCTCCCATTCCGCCCGTCCGCGTAGCAGGCGTGGCATATTCTCGTAACTTTAGGGGGGCCGCAGGTGGTGGTCTCCCAGCGCGGCCGCTATCCGAGCCCGTCGTCCAGGGCGTAGCAGGCGTGGCACCTTTTCGACACCATAGGGGATGCGCAGGGAACGTCCACCATTTTCACATGCTTCAACTTAACCGTCATCACTCTAGCCATAATATAAGTATGTGGGGTTCCCCGGTAGCGTTATCCTCACGCGGTTGCGGGGGCGACCCGTGTCACCGGTTGTCGTCGTGAGGCTAAGTGGCCTTATGTTGGCTCCATAATTCAAAATTTACAATTGGTTGTTCTCACGGTTCCGGGGGCGACACGTGTCACCCTTTGTTGTTTTTTTTGTGTGAGGTTGAACGGCCTCATGTTGGCCCCCAGACATCCAAAGTTGAAATTGTATTTTTTCTCACGCGGTTTCGGGGCTGATACGCGTCACCGGTTGTTTTTATGAGGCTGAATGGCTTCATGTTGGCCCCCCGAATCTCAAAGTCGCGCATGGTTTTTCTCACGCGGTTTCGGGGGTGACACGCGTCACCCGTTGTTCTTGTGAGGCTGAATGGCTTTATGCTGGCTCCCAGAATTCCCAAATTGACCATTGGTTTCTCTTTCACGGGTTCGGCGGTGACACGTGTCAGGTGCTGTTTTTTTTGTTGTTAGGTCGCATGGCCTAGAATCCAAAATTTACAGTTGTGTTTCTTCATTTCCGGGGTGACTCGTGTCGCCCGTCGTTGGTGTGAGGTTGAATGGTCGTATGTTGGCTCCCAGAATCGCAAATTTGCAAGAATTTTCCCATACTGCTTCAGAGATGACACGGGTCACCCGCTGTTTTTTGAAAGGCTGGATGGCCTTATGCTGGCTTCCAAGATCCTGAATGTACATGCGGTTGTTTCTCACGCGGTTTCGGGGGTGGCGGTTGACCGTCGTTGTTGTTGCGCGTCTGAATGGATTTATGTTGGCCTGTGGAACCGTAAATTTACAATTGCTTCCTCACACGGTTTCGGGGTCGACACATGTCGCCTGTTGTTTTTTATGAGGTTGGATGGTTTCATGTTGGCTCCCAGAATCCCAGGGTTACAATTTGTTGTTTTACATGGTTTCGGGGGTGGCACGTGTCACCCGTTGTTTTTGTGAGGCTGAATGGCCTTATGTTGGCTCCCAGAATCTAGAATTTACCGTCGGTTTCTCTCTCACGGTTTCGGTGGTGACACGTGTCACCCGCTGTGTTTTGTGAGGCTGCAAGGCCTTACGTTGGCACCCAGACTCCCACATTTCTACTTGCTGTTTCTCGCAGTGTCGGGGGTGGCCCCAAATTTGCAAATCGTTTTTATCATGCAATTTCGGGGGTGGTCACCCTTTTTGTTGCGCGGCTGTGTGACCTCATGTTGGCTCCCAGAATCCCAAATTTACAAATGGTTGTTCTCATGCGGTTTCGGGGGTGACACGTGTCACCCTTTTTTGTGCGCGGCTGTATGGCCTTGTGTTGGCTCCCAGAACCCCAAATGTACAAATGGTTGTTCTCATGCGGTTTCGGGGGCGACACGTGTCACCCTTTTTTTGTGCGCGGCTGTATGGCCTTGTGCTGGCTCCCAGAACCCCAAATGTACAAATGGTTGTTCTCATGCGGTTTCGGGGGCGACACGTGTCACCCGTGTTTGTTGCGCGGCTGTATGGCCTTGTGTTGGCTCCCAGAACCCCAAATGTACAAATGGTTGCTCTCATGCGGTGTCGGGGGTGACACGTGTCACCCTTTTTTTGTGCGCGGCTGTATGGCCTTGTGTTGGCTCCCAGAACCCCAAATGTACAAATGGTTGTCCTCATGCGGTTTCGGGGGCGACACGTGTCACCCGTGTGTGTTGCGCGGCTGTGTGGTTTTGTGCTGGCTCCCAGAACCCCAAAGTCACGAATGTTTTTCTCACGCGGCTTCGAGGGTGGCACGGGTCACCCGTTGTTCTTGTGAGGCCGACTGGCCTCCTGCTGGTTCCCGGAATCCCAGAATTACCGGTTGTTTTTCCCTCGCGGTTTAGGGGGAGTCGGGGCTGGACAGACCTCCTAACAGTGACACGTCGATTAGTGAATTGGCCGTTTTCGGTTCTCGAGAGGGCGCCGCGGCCGTTATTTTGCAGGCTCGCGCCCGCCAGGTTTGGGCCCGAGGTCGTTTTCACTAAACTACGTTTTACTAAAGGGAGGTCTGTCCATCCCCGAGGGAGGCGCGTGTCACCCATTTTTTTGTGTGAGGTCGAATGTCCTCATGCTGGCCCTCACATTCCAGAGTTACCTTTGTGCTTTTCACGCGGTTTCGGGGGTGGCGCGCGTCGCCCGGGGCCTCTGTGCGGCAGAATGGCCTTATGTTGGTTCCCGGAATCCCGAATTTACCATCGAGTTTTCTCACGCGGTTTCGAGGGTGACACGTGTCACCGGGTGTTTTTTTTGGTGTGGAGTTGAATGGTTTTTTCTCATGCGGTTTCGGCGGTGGCACGTGTCACCCGTTGTTGTGGCATGGTGTTGAATCGCCTTACGTTGGTTCCCAGAATTCCAAAGTTAAATTATCTCAGTGCGACCCTACCTAGGAGATGGAGCATTTAGGAAAGCAACATCTACATCTACACCGATGCTATGCTATGCTATGCTATGGTATGCTATGCTTCGCTATGTTATGCTATGCTAGGCTATGATATGCTATGCTGTGCTATGCTATGATGTGCTGCGCTATGCTATGCTATGATGTGCTGTGCTATGCTATGCTATGCTATGATATGCTGCGCTGTGCTATGCTAAGCCATGCTATGCTATGCTATGCTATGCTGAGCTATGCTATGCTATGCTATGCTATGAGCGGCTATGCTATGCTATGCTGTGCTGTGCTAATGCTGCGCTGCGCTATGCTGCGCTAAGCTAAGCGAAGGTACGTTAAGTTATGCTAAACTAAGCTAAGCTAGGCTAAGCCAAGCTAAGCTAATCTAAGATGAGATAAGCTAAGCTAAGCTAAGCTAAGCTAAGCGAAGCTAAGCTAGGCTAGGCTTGACAAAGCTAAGCTAAGCTAAGCTAAACTTAGCTTAGCTAAGCTAAGCTGGTGAACCAAGGGGGCGCAACTAGGGGAACCGCGGGGCGGATCCTGGGGGGACCGCCCGGGACGATTTACACTGCCCAGCCCTTTAAGCACACAGGGTAAGAACTCTTCTAGGCAGAGCCTACATAGGGAATTAGTTGTTCTCAGACGGTTTCGGGGGTAGCACGTGTCACCCGATGTTGCTTGTGAATACGAATGGCTTGATTCTGGCTTACAACATCCCGGACTTACAATTGTTTTTTCTCACGCGGTTTCTTGGTGACACGTGTCACCCGTTGTTTTTGTGACGCTGAATGGCCTTGTATGGGTTCCCCGTTTACAAGTGTCGTTTCTCTCACGGTTTGGGGGGTGGCACGTGTCACCCGTTGTTCTTGTGAGGTTGAATCGCGTTTTGTTGGTTCCCAAGACTCCCAAGTTACAATTCGTTTTCCCACGCGAGGCTGATTGGCCTCATGTTTGCTCCCAGAACCTCATTTACGATTCTCACGCGATTTCGGGGGTGGCACGTGTCGTTTGTTGCTATTGCGCGGCTTTATGGCCTTCTGCTGGCTCCTGGAAACGAGAATTGTTGATTGTTCGTTCTCTCATCGTTTCGGGGGTGACACGTGTCACCCGTTGTTGCGGTATGAAGTTGAATGGCCTTATGCTGGCTCCCAGAATCCCAAGTTTACATTTGGTTTCTCTCAGACGGCTTCGGGGGTGACACGTGTCACCCGCTGTTTCTTGCGAGCCTGAATGGCCTTATGTTGGCCCCCAGAATCCAAAATTTACAAGTTGCTGTTTTTTCTCACGCGGTTGCACGGGTGACACGTGGCACCCATGGTTTTTTTTGTCCGAGGTTGAATGGGCTCATGTTGGCTGGCTCCCAGATGCCCAAGTTCGCAGGGCGTGGCTGGCGCGGCCTGACGCCAAGAAGGGATACGCAGGACTCCGCCCCTACACGCGGAGCGCCAGGGCGGTCGCGGGGACGTCCCCAGCGGTCCAGGTTGCCCCGCGTTCCTTGTGTTTTCTACTTGCGCATTATAGCGCTGGATGCAGTTCAATGCTTTCGATATGTCCCCCAGATTGATTTTTAAAAAACCGTTTTTAGACATTACTGGCTTGGCCAGGAGGGCGCAAGCACCGATTCTTGCTCCGGCATGGGCCTGGCCATGAGGTGGTTCGCTGGCGTCCCGTGGCCTCCCATCATCGCCACCTTCCTAACCGAGCGCGTTCCACTTTTCGCAGAGCGCCTATTCGCAACGTCCGAGACCACACATGTTCGTCCCAATCGAACGGATCGTACATCCCCCTCGCCAGGTCCAGGCCATTTGCGAGGAGCTATTTTGCGAGCAGTGGAATGCGCAGGTCTACTCCCGATCCATCCTCTGTGGCACTCTCGCGGACCCTCCACGTACTCCCGCAGCCACCGGACCCCGTGCGGCAGGCCCTCGCTCAAACGCGGCGACTGCGCCAGTTTTCAGATGCAAGGTTTGGAGCCGGCTGGGGGGCTGGGGGGGCCCAGCATTAGTCGAAGAAGAAACATCGCCAGCAACATAAATGTTTGGCGTTCCGCGCGGATTTCTTGGATCCGCGCTGGGCGCCCCCAGCGGCGCCTCCGGCGCCGCCCCTGGCGCGCTCCGCGCGCGAGGGAGAGGGTTCCAGCGCAGATCCAAGAAATCCAGGCGGACCGTCGAAAGTTTATATTTCTGCCTGTTTGTGTTTCTTCGAAATGATTCTGACCAAACGTCAGTATTGTTTAACCGATCCCCGACCCCACTGGGTCGTAGAATCTTAGCCCACCACGCCAACCTCACAGATGGGGATATACCCTACGAAACCCGAAAGGAACAGCATATATCCCCATCTAGGCGCAGTAAATCGGCCAGTGGGACCAAGGCCACGCCAGGATCGATTAGACGATGCTCAGAAAAGCTGGGGAAAGGGGCCGTTTCGTCACCACGGTTGAACGCGGCTCGAACAACTCGTCAGTTTCGACTCCTGGAGGGGTTTGGGGACCGAATTTGAACAGATTTGCCCCCCCCCCTCTTGACTGACTGATTTTCTCTGGGCTTATCCAGCTCCCCCTGGCCGCCTCCAACGCAAGATGATGCAAAAGATCGGAGCCCATCCGCATTGTCGCCTTTCGAAAAGAAAAGGTATGAAAGAGCGCGCTCGTGGCACACTTCTCACTAAAAGGGGGGGCCCAGCTTCAAGCTACCCCCCCCTCCCTTGGAAAGGGTGGGGGGCTTCCGAAGCTCCCCCCCCTTCCCCCCCTCAGGGGGGGCCTGGCTAATTGGGGGGGGGCTCGGAAACTCCCCCCCCATATCCCCCGTTTTCAGGGCCCGGGGTCGGCCCGGCCTCCCCTCTCAAATGGGAGGGGGGGTTCCGAAGCTCCCGCCCCCTCCCTTGAATGATCGGAGCTTGAAGTTGGGGAGGTCCCTCGCTAAGGGGGGCGAGGTTGGAAGCTACCCCCCGTCCTTTTCGGGACCCGGGTTTGGGCCCGAGCTCCCCTCTCCCAAGGGGGGGGGGCTTCCGAGCCTGCCCCCCTCCCCTCCTGTTGTGTTGGCTTTTTCCAGCCGGAGGGCATTGGCTTGAGGGGGGAGGTCGAAGCTACGTTTCCTCTGTGGTTTCCGGCGCCCCATTGGCACTCAGTGCATTTCTGGTCTTCAGCGTCTCTCTGGTTTTCGGCGCCTCGCTGGTTTTGGCGCCCCTTGGGCCCTTGACGCCCGTTTGGTCTTCGGCGTTCCTGTGGTTTTCGGCATCGTTTCGGTGTTCTGCGCTCCTGTTGTCTTCCGCGTTCCTTTGGTTTTCGACGCCCCGTTTTGTTATTTGCGCATTCTGTCTGGTTGTTGGCGCATCGTTGGTCTTCGGCGCCCTCTTGGGTTGCGGCGCTCCTTTGGTTTTCGGCGCCGTGTTGGTTTTCGGCGCCCGTTTGATTTCCGGCGCCCCTTTAATTTTCGGCGCCATTTTGGTTTTCGGCGTTCTTTGGTTCTCGGCACCCACCCCTCTTGTTTTGAGCGCAGCGCCCTTCGGCTTTCGGCGCGCCTTTCGTTTTTTGGCGCCTTTCGATGTTCGACGCCCTTATGGTTATTGACGCGTCTTTGGTTGTTCGGCGCCCTTTTCATTTTTGATCTTCGGCACATCGGTGCTTTTTGGCGCCCCGTTTCTGTTTTAGGCGCATCTTTGGTTTTCGGCGCTCCTGCAGTTTTCGGCGCCTCGTTGGTTTTCGGCGCATTTTTTGTTTTTGGCGCCCTGTCCGTCTTCGGAGCTTCTGCTGGTTTCGGCGCCCCTTTCGTTTTCGGCGCCATGTTGGTTATCGGCGCCTTATTGGTTATTCGGTTCCCTTTTGGTGTTCGGTGCATCGTTGGTTTTCGGCGCTTTGCTTGGTGTTCGGCGTCCCTTGGGTGTTCGGCGCACCTTTGGTTTTCGGCGCCCTCTTGGTTTTCACCTCCCTGATGGTTTTCGGCGCGTCTTCTGTTTTCGGCGCCCTTTGGTTTCCAGTGCACCTTTGGTTTCCGGGTTCTTTTCTCTACGTTCGGCGCTGCTCTGGTTTTCGTCCTCCTTTTGGTTTTCTGAGCCCCCATTGGGTTTCGGCGCCCCTTTTTGTCTTCAGCGCCCTTTCGGGTGTCGGCGCACCTTTGGTTTTTCGGCGTCCTTTCGGTTTTCGGCGCCCTTTGGTCTTCTGCGCTCCTTGGGTCTTCGGCGCCGTTTTGGTTATCTGTGCCCTTTTGGTGCTCGGCGCCCCGTTGGGTTTTGATGCGCTGTGGTTTTCGGCGCCTTTTTGGTTTTCGGCGCTGCTCTGGTTTTCGGCGCTCTTTTGGTGTTCGGCGCCTCTTTGGTTTTCGGCGCCCCACTGGTTTTCGGAGCATTTTTTGATTTTCGGCACCTCTTTGGTTTTCGGCGTTCGTTCGGCTTTCGGCGCCTTTTGGTTGACTGCGCCCCCTTGGTTTTCGGCGCTCTTTTGGTTTTCGGCTATCCTTTGGTATTCGGTTCTCTTTTGGTTGTCTGCGCCCTGTTAGTTTTCGGCGCATCGGTCGTTTTCGGCGATCCTTTGGCTATCCGCGCTCTTTTGGTTTTCGGCGCCCTTGTGGTTTTCGACGCACCTTCGATTTTCATCGTCCTTCCGGTTTTCGGCGTTCCTTAAGTTTTCGGCGCGCTTCTGGTTTTCGCGCCCTTTGGGTTTTCGGTGGCTCTTTGGTTTTCGGCGCTCTGTTGGTTTTCGGCGCCCTTTTGGTCCTCGGCGCTCCTTCCTTTACTTAGTCAAAGGGGATGGGGGGCTTCCAAGCTCCCCCCCTCTTTAGCCCAAAAGAGGGGGAGGAGGGGGGGGCTTCCAGATGGGGAGGTTCATCAAAGGGGAGGGGGGTAGCTAAGCCCCCCCGCTTTGGAAAAGGAAGGGGCTGGGGGGTAGCGAGGGGGGGGGGAGGGGAGAAGGAGAGGGGGGGAGCTTCCGGGGAGCTTCCGGCAGGGGAGGTGCAACGGCAAAGGCGGGGCGGGCGGTAGCTAAGGCCCCCCCCCTTCGGACAGGAAGGGGGTGGGTAGTTTCCAGAGCGCGGGAAGGAGGGGGGAGGGATAGCTTCCGAGGGGCGGACAAAAAGGGGGCGGGCGTCCGGCAGGGGAGGTCCAAGATGGGGGAGCGGCTAAGGGGGGACCTCCCCCCCACCGCTTCGAGCGTACCACGGCCGCGCTCTCTCAAAGGCATGCTGCAGCCATCCTTCTACCACAAGGGACGCTGAATAAGGAACGAGGGAGCTTTCCTAGTCACGGCGAGCTTCGGCCACGAAGAGGTCTCCCAGTTTGTGTCGAAGACGCCTACAGCGAATCACCGCCGCCCCCATACCAGCCTCTTGCTTTTTGGAATCGCCCATGCGGCCGAACGTTGTCGCCAGAGCTTTGCCTCCTGGAAGCTTCGTATCGAAGCCGGGTGTGCCCACATGCGTCCGCGCCACCCATTTTGGCGCACCTTTTACACGTCTCGTGGCCCAACAGGGAGCTCCACCGAAGGCCCCAGCGGCCGGTGTCCACATGCGCCCGCGCCACCCACTTTTCTGGCACACCCTTCACACATTTCGTGGCCCCAGAAGGCCATAAGGAATTCTTGACCCTGGCTCAAGCCTGGCTCAAGCCGTCTCCGCGCGAGTCCGCCCCCGCCAGGTGCGCGCCGTGCCGAGCCCGACATGTCTGCCGCGTGGCTGCTGCCGCCCGCGGGCCGCCGGGGCTGGCCGCCGCCGCCGCCGCTGCGCCTGCGGCGGCGGCTGGCGGCGGTGGCCTGCCCGCCGATGCACTCGCCGCGGCCGCCGCCGCCGCCGCCGCCGCCGCGGCCGCCTCAGGCGTGCCACTGGCGGCGGCCGCCGCGGCTGGCGTCGCGGCTGCCGCGGCCTCCATGCCTAGTGGCGGTGCCGCCCCTGCCGTCCTCGCCGCGGCTGCGGCCACTGCCGCCGCTGCGGCCGCCGCCGGCTCTTCGCCGGCGGCGGCGGCGGCGGGCGGCACGGCGGCCGGCACTGACTCTGTTGGGGGCGGCTGGGCGCCGTACACTGGATCCCCGCTGCGCGCCAGCAACGTCGAGAACGAGCCGGGCGTTCAGGTCCCCTCGGGCCTTTGGGACCCTGCCGGCTGCACGTCGTACCTCGGGGCCCTCAATGTGTACAAGGGAGACGACATCGCGGACCCTGAGAAGATGAAGCGGTCCCTGAACGCGGAGCTGGCCAACGGCCGCCTGGCCATGATGGCCATCATTGGGATGTTCCTCCAGGACAACCGCATGGGCTCCGCCTGCGGCGACTGGGCGACCTACACGGAGTCGCCGCTGCGCGCCTTCGAGAGCGAGTGGGACCTGCAGGCGCCCGTCGGCTACTGGGACCCGCTCGGCCTTGCGAAGGACGTCGGTGCGGACGTCCTCCACAGGAGGAGGGGCACCGAGGTCAAGCACGGCCGCGTCGCCACGTGGGCCGCCATAGGGTACATCGTGCAGGACTTTTTCCTGTGGCCGAGAGGTGTCGTCCTCGAGGGGCCTGCCCTTGCGAGTCTTCCGAAAGGCCTAAGCGCTCCGGGCAAGGTGTCTGGTGCCGACTGGGGGCAAATGTTCCTGTTCTACGGTTCCCTCGAGCTTCACGCGGCCAGGCAGGACCCAACGGATCCTCCAGGCAAGCTCAGCAGAACCGAGGCGGGCTTCGGAAAGTCGCACTTCGGGGCCCTCGGCGGGTTCAAGGGGGACGGTATCGAGGACCCTGAGAAGAACAAGCGGTCCCTGAGCGCGGAGCTGGCCGAAGGCCGCCTGACCAGGACGGCCATCATCGGGATATTCTTCCAGGAAAACCGCACGGGCTCCGCCTGGGGCCACGGGGTGACCTACACGGACTCGCCGCTGCGCGCCCTCGAGAGCGAGCTGTGCGTGCAGGCGCCCGTCGGCTACTGGGACCCGCTCGGCCTCGCTGAGGTCCACGTTCACAACCACGCCGACGACGACTACGACCACGACGGCTACGAAGACGACCACGACCACGACCCTGATGACTCGACCTCCCCCATGCGAGCACACATCGCCGACCCCTCCCTCTCATCAATTTACCAGATCTTGCGGCTATCGGCTGCGCCTCCTCCTCTCCTCCTCCTACTGCGCAGGGCACTCTCGCACCGTCCCCTGCGGCTGGAAATGAGGCCCTGGGACGTGCCCGCGGGGCGGTTGTGGCAGGATTACCAGACGAAGATCGAGCTGTATCCAGAGAGAGAGGCAACACAATCCCCCCGCCTGTGGTGACAGAAGACCCTCCACAGGCCGAGGCGGAAGGAACAGCCACAGAGGACTCGACCTGCCCCATGCGAACGCACATCGCCGATCCCTCCCTCCCCTCTTTCAATGTACCTGATCTTGCGGCTATCGGCTGCGCCTCCCCCTCTCCTCCTCCTACTGCGCAGGGCACTCTCGCAGCAGGGCATGGGCACAACCCCCATCCTGGCACAGGCCTCCCAATAGTGAGCAGCTCCCCCCGCACCGTGCCAGAGGATCCTGCCACGCACAACGACACATCGGAGCATAGCGGCAGCAGCAGCGGCAGCGTGCCACTCCCCGTTTCGTCGACAGACGAAGACGTCCCAGAGGGGAATCGAGAGGCGGTTGAGGCTGGGGACACGATACCACCCCCCCCCATCGTGGACA